GAGCTCATGGAGCCGCTGGATGGCGAACAGCATGTCGAGCGTCGACCGGTGTGGGCGGAAACCGCTCTGCTCCTCCGGGAGGATGCCCTCTCGCTCGCAGTAGTGGCTCAGTCGTGTAGCGACGACCTTAAGCAGCACCTTGCCGGCGTGTGCGACGAGCGAGATGCCCCGGTAGTTGCCGCACTCCATCGTGTCCCCCTTCTTGAACAGCACTTTGATGGTGGCATCCTTCCACTGCTGTGGTACGTCCCCAGTCTGCCACACGTCCACGACAATGGCGTGGAATTCGAGTAGGAGACCTTGATCTCCGTCCAGGAAAAACTTGATCAGCTCAGCCGGTAGGTCGTCCGGCCCGACGGCCTTTCTGTTGGCCATTTCCGCTTCCTCAACCTCAAGTAGAGATGGGATGTCGTCGAGTGTGTGCGGATGATGTACAGCGAAAATACTAAACTACTACGCTCTGGTTGTCCTACCCCTTTCCTCTGCACTAGACAACCTGACTGGGATAGTGAACTCACCCGCGTGAGCTTGCAATGCTTGCTCTCTGCCGAGAAATCCATCCTTGACGACCACGCCAGGCGAGCCCGCCGCGAAGCCTCCCGAGCTCAGAGAGAAAAGGTCCGCTGGGGTAAGCACAGGATACGTGTAATCATCTTGTGCGACTGATGGCCCAGATTGTCCAGAAGGGGCTGCAGTGGATCTTTCGTCTAACCAAGACATGATGCTGGCCTGCACCTTCGCGGGTAGCACCATGGTACTGTAGGAGGACCCGTAGTGCGGGACGGAGTGAGACGACTAAGCCAGCACAGAGCAGCAAGAATGGAAGGCAGTGCAGCGGATGGCGAGATGGCGAGATGGCGAGTGGTGGGGCGCTTCGAGGGTATACCCCACCCTACGGAGTTATATTCGTTGTGCCCCCGGTTTACTCTTTTTTGCAACCGCCCACAACCCTTCCTGAGCTGCACGCCACAACACCCACCGTGACAAAGGCTCGATTGCTGACTTAATCCATCTCCTGGTGTCCGTGAAGAGGAGGTGATTGTTAAAATCAACGGCGGCCTTCAGAAGGTGTGTGAATGTGTGAATGTTTGAGGATTCGGGAAGATGTTCCCCTTCGGCGACAGCAGAAACTTTAGGACTGCTGTAGACAGACAGAGAAGCTGCTCGTGGCGGATGTGCCCGAGCGCAATGCAAGAGGACACGTGTCGCACACCAATGAATCAATGCATCCGGGGTAGCAATTCGCGGTTTATACCCACTGCTGTGATTCCTCCAGCAAGTTCCATCGCCATCGGCAGCTGCTACTGCTGTACACGGTCGTCCTGTGCTGTGCGTTTCTTCCGACACTCTCCGCAATTGGTACAAATTGAAGTACTGGTGTAGATACCGGTACTTCAAAGGAGAAATGCGGTTTCACCTCCCTCCGTTGCCAGCAACACTTTGTGCAGTAGCACCAGCAATGGGCGATATCTGTGGTATATGGTAAATCGACAGATGTGAAACAGATGGACTGATGGGCAACGAGGAGAAAGCAGTCGCAGTATGTAGGACAAGGACCAAGAGGGACGAATCAACCTGTATTGACTATAGCAGCGACTGGCCTTCGTACGGTTTTTGTGAGTGAAGCAGTGAGTAACCTGTTCCCGCGGTAGCAACAGTTTGTTCAACATAACTTGCATCGTTTTCGCAGTGCAGAAATGAATCCATGCTACCGTGCGATAAAAGATTCCAAGGTGGTGTGCTACTTCAAATCATTGCCGATACGGCAAGGAGGAGACGCGTGTCTAGGAGAGGGATTAGGGAGATAGCCGGCATTGAGAGGAGCACAAAGAAGAGTGCATGCTATTATATAATAGAAGTACACACATGTGGACTTCTGCACGCCGTGTGAGGCGTTCCCAAACTCGTAGAGTTGTTATAAAAAGAGGTCAGCACCATTTCTCTCGGCGTCAACACGAGCAAGAACAGCGAACAGCACGAGCCACTTAATACTGCTTTACGTACAACTGTACTACAGCACCGATGCGACTCACCGCACCCCTTCCTATCGCTGTGATCGATCTACCGCTCTCCAACCCAAATTCACGGGTCACAGGGCTTCACCCCCCCGGGGCCACCACTCGACCACACCGGCAAAAAAACAATAAAAAAGAACATGCCGCTCGGGTTCGTGAACGGCGGCAGCGGCAACAGCCCAGAGGAGCTCTTCCGGAGCATCCCGCCCGTCTCCAAGGTGCTGATATTGGGGATGGTGGGCACGATGTTCTCCATCGTGCTGGGCGTTTGCTCACCCTACGAGTACGCGCTCTCGTGGCCGCTGGTCTGGAACAAGTTCCACCTGTGGCGGCTCTTCACTTCGGGCATCTTCCCGGGAAAGCCCGGCTACGGCGCCCTCATGTCGATCTTCTCCATCGGAATGTTCTCGATCAGGTGGTCTGGCCACCAGGAAAAGAGTTTTTTTGGCGCGGGTATGCGCGGCGATGGATTTCCGTTGGACATTTCGCTTAGTGCTGTTTTTCTGAGGGCGTGGAGTCACGCGGCAAGCAAGTCTGTTCGGCCGTTATTTGTGCGTGTTAGGCCCGAGTCTGTCTCGAGTCCAAATACGTACACCTCACTTTTGATGTTGCGATTGAGCACCGCCTGTTTCGCGGGGAAGGGTTAGTGGTTAGGTGGCGGCCCATGGCCTGTAATGGCACAGCGGTGATGGCATGGTATGTCGCTTTCGCTGTTGTGCGGATGAGACGCATGCCAACAAGGCTTGTTTCGGAGGCTATGATCACTTCCTCAGCAAGTACTCAGAAAACTGATTGCGGGAAGGTTTGACCGACCCATCTCGCTGCTCGCGCGCAGGCGTGTGTGCACGTGAGTCGCCTCAAATTTGAAGCCGCAGTAGACGAGCGAGAGAAGAAGAGTTGGATCACCGTGCTTTCGGTGTGCGTGCGTGTCATCTGCACCTGTTACTAGCTTCTTTTTAAAGGGTTTAGCCTTGCTTTGGTCGACAATGAGAAGGCGTTTGTTGAGTTGGTTTTGCATGGTGGTGCTACATTTAACGTGCCGGTTTTTGTTCATCGACAATATGCAGAGGCCCATCGGGCGACTGTTTAGTACATGTGTGTTGCCTCAGAGCCAACTGGGCGCAACGATAATATGCCGGACATCCCAGGGAAGAAGGGCGCTCAGACTAGTAGTGTAGCAGAGCCTCAGACACATTGCAAGGGCGCAAAGGACCACACTGCAGTTGTTTTTTTTCCGCGAAGGTGTTTGTTTTACCGACTGTGAGCTGCATCGGTCCTGCTCCTGCTGTGTATCGCGCATGACTGCTGTGATTGCCCATGCCAATACTGACTGTGCGTTCTGCCGCATGCACGGACGTGTGCGCCGCACGAGCAGATACGAGAAGGACGGGTTCAGCATGGGCGGCGGGGGCGGCAGCGCTGACTACGCGTACATGCTCCTCTTCGGCTTCGTGTGCATCGAGGCGTCGCTGCTGCTTCTCTTCTACCAGCCCTTCATGATCTTCACGGAGGCAATCATGTTCTATATCTGCTACGTCTGGAGCCGGAAAAACCCCGGCATGTCGGTCAGCTTCTGGGGCATTCACATAAACGCTCTGTACGTCCCCTGGGTGATGATCGCGATGAGGTACGAACGTGTGCGTTGGTTTTGCTTGCGATTTCGCTCCCATGATTAAACGTGTGAGGGTGACGTGGGCACAACATAGTTTAGATATCTTTTCTTTTTCACCGTTTCAGTCGCTACTCCTCGAACCCAATGTGTGGCAGACCAGTGGTCGTGCGTGTCTTCTTCACACCTCACGTGGCTGCTTGGACCGGTACATGTTTTGCACGACGCACATGTGACTGCTGTGCGCCGTTTGAGTCTGGCGGCGTTCGTCTCCCTCTAACGATTCGGCAATCTCTGTTGCGGAGATCTTCCAGCTCCCCGTGTCTACTTGCGGTACATATTTTCTAGTCTTAATATTGAGCCTTTGGCGTCCATGGCGCTTCAAGGTTTCGTCTGTCTCCAAATCTTGTTCAATCCCGTGGTCTTTTGTGTGTGCGTTTGAATTTGCATCGACCGCGCTAACAGGCTGACCAACAATAATGACAATACTTCAGTCTTGCAGCCTGTGTCTGTTTATTTTGGTACCGACGCCTACTTCGTCGAAAGCAAGTCGACCACCGCAAGTTGAGGGAAGCAGGAAGAGGTACATAGTCAAGCCACCCAAGAGCCATCTTCGTCACACTCATCTCTCCGTCCATCCGTGTGTGCTTGCTTGCTTGCTTGCCGTAGGGTGGCTATCGGCGCGAGCATCTTCATGGCCCTCCTCGGCATCGCGGTCGGCCACCTCTTCTACTTCCTCGTCGACGTGCTGCCGGACCTGCACGAAATCGATCTGCTCCAGACACCCCAGTTCCTGGTCAACATGCTGGGCTGGGGCCGCGAGGGATCGGGCGTCACGATGCAAGCAGGTGGCGGAGGGGCGGCGGCGGGTGCTAGGGCAGGGGCTGCCGGGGTGCCCGCCCCGGGTGTCGTTCGACCGCCGCGGGACATCCCTCGAACCGGGGGAGGGTCGGGTTGGGGGACCGGGAGGACGCTAGGCTCTTCCTGACCTAACTTCGAAGAACCCACCGAAGAAAAGCGAGCCTTTCGCTGCCCAGACTGTGTGGCAGATTGCCGTTCTGAGCAGTGAAATATTTCGGACCGACTTTGTGTAACATTCCGTGCATGCATGGTGGGGTGGTGGGCACTCTTGTATTGCCTCTTGTCGGGAACGACGTTTCTGTAATCACGCTGCGTGGAATCCGGTCGCGGGAGTGTCGCCACTGATGGGTCGAGGGTTTGATGAGGGTTGATATACTCTAGGCGTGTCTCACGGGGAATTCTTCCTGTCATCGTCAGGAGAAAAGGGATTCTCTTGCACAAGGCCCAATAGTTTGTTGCGGGGAGCGCCGGTGGGCGAAGCTTGGAAACGATTGAAATTGATGGTCGTTGGCATGTTTCGTCTTGAAAGGGTGGGCGTAGATTCATGTAAGGTCTCGTTTCATTTCGTGTGTTGTCTTGCTAGCGGGGGCAGTTATCAACGTTGTCCCTTCGTCCGCCACAGCCGGTCAGAGCCAGCCCTTGTGGCTTCCCACTCAGTCACGCAGCTTAACTAGTTTCTCGACTTATGAGGCGGGGAGGAAGCACTCCGGGACCAAGGAGAAAAAGGTTTAATAGATCACAACGAAGGTAAAAACAATTCAGGGATGTATTTGTGCATGTACTCGTTGTGGACCACAAATATCAACACCTCAAAACTTCCATCCTTCCACTGCGGCGCCTTCGAACACCAATGCACGCCAAGGAATCAACAAAAGCAATGAAGGAAACAATACACTGTTCTCCTGCCGATTGGCAGACGCTGTCGCTCAGTGTCGCTTCGACCTCCTTTGCCTTATGAAGAACAGAAGTATCTGTTTTCACCCATGCTTGACTACGCCGTCCCTGGTGCGTGGCTAAATGAAATCAATACCATACCGATCCAAATGCATATCCATATCCAGGGCGCTGCCTCTTGCCTGCCTGATACCTCACATCCTCTCCTACAAGCACACCCACTCCTGCGGACATGCTGCGAGCATGGAGTTTGCAGCAAAAATTGTAAACAGAACTCTCCCAAGTCAGCAAACACACAAGACACAAGGACGAACGACACACGGAATTGTCACAATAGCCCCAGCAACCACATTTTCACACTGGCAACCTGCATTATCTCCGCGGTCTCTCGGGGAAACAACACAACATGCGCAAAAAGCCGTCATCGCGGTGTGTTGTGCATTGAACGCGACTGTTCACCAAGCGAGGGGCGACGCCTCCCCCAAGCCCGGTGGGGACAACGCTTCGAGCCGTTGCTCTGTCGACGGACGATTTTACCCTACGCACCCACAATGCCCGAGAACATACAATCGTCATTGGCAAAAATCTTCAAAAACCACCAAGAGAAGAGAGTTTGCTGGGAGAAAATGGACGACAGAAACAGGGGGCGACATCTTCTTTCTCCGTTTCCACGAGAAGCGCCTTGAAGGAAGAAGGAATGTCATTATTCTACATTATTTCAACGCGAGAAAATAACACACATTATTCCCGGTTGCCACGTTGAAGTTTCTCGTCGACAAAACCCACGGAGAAGAAATTGAAAGCCCCTAAACATAAAAACCAGGGGTCATCTCATCTCACCACATCAAATTGATGCTTCCATCCGCACGCGAGGCTGAAGCTCCACTCTCTCCATCGGGGGATCTCCCGAGGGACTTTTTAATACAAGAGGAAAAACCTTGACCTTCAACGACACAGCACACTGCTTCGCGCAACACCTCAATTTATCGTCGTCGCCTCTCCACAAATCCTTCGGCGGCGTTCAAATTCTCAGCAGCAGCCTCCTCCTGTGCTAGCTGCTGCTGCCGGCTTCGCCCCGGCCCCCGCGCCGCCGACCGCCGCCCCCGCGCTCGCAAACGGGATGGGCTTACCGCAGTCCGGGTAGATCCCGTAGTGGGTCTTGCCGTCTCCGACCTTGTCAAAGTAGCGCGCGAAGCGCGTCCCCATGAGCATGTGCAGCGTGTTCCGGCAGACGGGGAACACTCGCCCGGTGTCCATGGTGTGGTGGTTGTCTAGGGTGAAGGACTGTGGGGAGGAGGCCATCGTCCCCTTGTACACCACCGCCTCGCCGTAGTCCTCGCAGTCTCGCTCCAGCTCCGGCAGCTTGAAGAGGCGGTACGTCGCCGAAAAGAAGCCGATGTGGCCAACCTGTTCCGGGTGTCGCCGACGGGCCAGCGGGGGCGTTAGGTCTAGAGTGACAACTGCTTCCAAAAACAGGCACTGGCGCGGCGGGGCGCGCAAGAAAGCCCCCAACAAAAGTGCTCGAGAGACGCCGCAGCACGCCAAACCAACACGCCAAACAGCAATAGGACCAAAAAAACAGCACCGACGCCAAATAACGCTCCGTCCCTCCGTCCCTCCCCATCCTTACCAACACCACCACGCTCACCCTCTTTTCAATCTTCTTGTTGGAGACGGTGATTCTGGAGTCGCTGACGAGTCGCGGGTCGTTGAACCCGTGCCTGCGCGCGATGGTGAGGAAGTCGTTCCAGTAGAGCGCGCCCGACAGGCACTCCCCGAAGAGGACCGGGTCGTCCACCAGGTCCTGCGGCACCCTCCGGTCCGAGTAGACGTCGGAGAAGTACAGCTCCCCGCCGGGCTTGAGCACCCGGTAGGCTTCCCGCAGGACGGCGTCCTTGTCCGGGGAGAGGTTGATGACGCAGTTCGACACGATCACGTCGAAGTAGTTGTCTGGGAGCCCGAGGTCAGCGAGCTTCTCGATGTAGCCCTTCTTGAACTCTACGTTCGGCTTGTCGTACCCGAACGACTTGGTGTGGAAATCCACGTGGCGGTTGGCCACCTCCAGCTGCTCGTCCGTCATGTCCACGCCGACAACCCTACCCTCGGGCCCGACGAGCTTGGAGATGATGTAGCAATCTCTGCCGGCCCCGCAGCCGAGGTCGAGCACGTTGCAACCCTCCAGCGCCTCCGGCATGACGATGCCGCAGCCGTAGTACTTGGCGATGACCTCGTCGTTGAGCAGCGGCATCACCGCCTTGACGCTGTCCGGCATATTGGCGTCCGTCGTGCACGCGTTTGTCTTTAGGTCGTCGCTCTTGGTCAGGATCTTCCCGTAGTACTCCTTTACGCTGTCGCGCGTTGCCTGTGTTTGGATGAACCAGGACCGACATTGGTTGGTTTTTGCGCAACCGTCAAGTGACTTTACAAAGGGGGGCGGTAGCGAGCGAGGTTGTGCCCCCCCCGAGCGGAGGGCGACAGGGAAAGACACACTCACGCCACGCAACACCAACACATGCACGACCAAACACAACAGCAAAAGAGTCATAAACGGGGAAAACCGAAAACGGCACATATATGTGGGGGAGGTGTGTCTTGCGTGGACCCATACGTGCCGCGGTCCGACTCAACTGCTATTGCTGCGTACGGCGTGACAACTAGAAGTCCATCCGACCCATGCATGCTACCGCACGTCGCATGCAGTTGCATTCCAAGTGTAGACTCCTGGTACAATCTGTCTGGCCATCGGGCTGGGTCTACCTGCTTTTTTGCCCCCCGAGTTTAAACACCCTGAGTTTGAACAGCACCATCCACAAAAATCTCAGTGTGACGGAAGCACCTACCTGAAAAGCTCCAGCAAAACAGCTGAACTTGGGGGTCAGAATGGCGGACTAACTTCTTGACGTAACCAAAAATGATCAAAAATGAGTTGGACGAGAACCGCAACGTCGAGTTCCCGAAGCATTCCGCTGTTTCAGGACCTATTCTATGCCGCCCCCCACCCCCGCCCCCCGATGACTCCAGAGCATCTTCACGTCATGTTCACGTTTTTTCATTCCTCCTTCAAGATCGGAAGCATCTGTAATCGGAACAAAGTCTACGAATTCAACAATAGCCAGCAATGGCTGTTGCCAGCTACTTTTTTGAGGCATGCTGTAGTCACAATTGGATCACATCCGATAACACATGGCACTCAGATGTCATCTAAAAATATAGCAATTGAAACTGACTTTCGGTCCGAGATGGGCTACATTCTGGATTTTCTGCCATAGGGATGGATGGGCCAACGGGCATTGCTGTCCTCGATCGACCGGCCGAAACCGTCAGTCGAACGGCATTGCTAGCCGCAAGAGAATCGCCGACTGCTGTCTATCGATTTGACATGGCTAGCAACAATCGATTTTCTATCTGTCGATCGATGGGCATTGCCGGCTACTACACATTTGGGACATCACCTCTTGAGACAGACATTGCTGGCCACAATACTTGAGATGGCAGAATCCATACCGATAGACGATTTTTTACGAAGTTTGGGAAGATCAGCATATGTTTTGGTTTTGGTTTGGGTCGTGTACAGCACCCCGAGGACCGAAGTCCGATGGATCTGTAAAAATTTGGTCTTTTGCTGAATTGCCCTCAAAAGACCTCAGAAAAACTCCAACTTGGTCGTTTAATGAAGAGCAGTTAGCCCGTTGGCCCAGTGAGATACACCGTCAGCTTAACGCGGACTGCAAACGGCACACACACACACAAAAAAGAGTGGCAGGCGGAGGACAAAACGAGGTCCGTTGCACACACACGCACGCTGCTCGTTGGCACACAGCACACGCTCTCTCCCTTTTGTCTTCACATTATTGTTCAAACTTTTCAAACGACAAACGACACATGCCGCTCGGAAAGTAAAAATGCTCACGCGTTGAGCAGCACAACACGACATCTCACGGGGTCACAAATCATTTTCGAAGCAACTAGCTCAGAGGAGGGGCGTATCCGACGGATTGCGTGGCGACCGGCGTTCACAACCGCGTGGTCTGAGCACGTCGCGTGCGCCCTGCTTAATGCCACAGAAGCCAGCAAAGCGCTTACAGCGGTGTGGTTGGGTGCTGCCTGCCTCTTTCATAATCTTTGTGGCGCCAATACGAGCCAACTGTAGCTACCGTGTGCTAGATTTTCAGTTCGATGGTCCACGGTAGAAGGAAATGCGTTCGACAGCAGTGTACTTTGGTAGGGCCGCACGGGCGACACGCTAGTTCCTCAGGGTCTCAGGGTTTTGTACGTATGCACGTCTAGCCACGAGCAGAAAAGTGACGGGGCAACCTCCACGTGCAGACGTCACGTTGTATGGCTTGTTGAAAAAGGTCCAGAAAAAGAGCGGAGAGGGGAAGTCCGCTTTTAGCAAGCAGTTTTCAAACCAAGTTCAGGTCTTGGTTGGATTGTCCCGACGGCAAAAACCAAAACAGTCACGCTGTGTGTCGACAGGCTCGGTCTTTGGCACTCTTTTCTTCCCCTCGCTGCCTCGGCAAGGTTTTGCGTAGGCATGGCCCTTAGCGAGGGGGGGGGCGTACTCTTATGTTTTGCATGTCTTAGCGGTTAGACCATTGACCACGCGTCCTCGAGAGGACGGAGCATTGTTCCCACAGGACCGATCACCGATGGCCAATCGTTCCTT